TCTTTCCCTTCTCACTGAGCTTAGAGGTTCTCCAATTCCACTTTCGAAAGACCCACTGTGCCAGTTGCAGGCAACGGAACCAGGGATGCTGTATTTTATGTGCAATTTAAGATATTCAGAAGGATGATTTTTGTCTACAAACATTTTTTCTTGCCTTGAGCACTGAATTTAGAAGCAAACTCTCGTGTACGTACGGGATGTGACTACACTGCATTTCCTTAAAGAATATTTCCCCCCGGGTCCTGTGAATTTGAATCTACACACACCACTTAATAAGTCTTTGCTGAGCTCAACAAGACATCTCGAGTAAAGGTCACTGGACCGGCTAAAGAAAGGATGTGGGGAGAATACCCTGCCTCTGGGCCCCGCTCCCGGGGACAGCCTTTCCGTCCCACCAGCCCCTTCAAGCCAGGAGAGGTATTTCTAGGAAGCAGAGTCAAAGCAAAGGAAATACAAGGAATAAATCAATTTTCTTTGGGTTTCTCCCTCTCCTTTCTAAACTCAGCTGAACTAGCATCGAGTAGAAACTCCAGGAATCCATTTCATATTTCTTGGATCTAAAACACAACAGACACTAGTGCAAAGGGCAGCGGCTCTCGCCTCTTCCAGGAAGCATTCTCTTTGCCGTTCTTCCACATCCTTTAACACGGGAATCGGTGCCAGTCTGAAGGGGTGGGCACAGTTTTCACACAGCTTCTGGTGAACAAAGGTCAACCCCACTCCTGCACTGTCCTATCCTTAGGGACCGACCTGGGATGAGTGTTAGACTGGGGCTCTCTTGTCATTTCCGGGAACAAATACTGAATGACCCCTGGGTAAGATGCTATGCTAGGCACATGGCCTGAGAGAGGAATGCAAGACGGACTCACCAAAGAGAGTGGGGTTGGGGGGAGGGGACAGAGGGACAGAACAGTTGGAGGAAAGGGTGGGTAAAGAGAGGAGGAGAGACGGACATTGCTGGGGAGGAAGGGATTTGCTGAAGGGAAGAGGGAGGAAAGATTTTAAAAGGAAGAAAGGAGGGCCTCCCCGGTGGCGCGGCGGTCGAGAGTCCGCCTGCCGATGCGGGGGACGCGGGTTCGTGCCCCGGTCCGGGAGGATCCCAAGTGCCGCGGAGCGGCTGGGCCCGTGAGCCGTGGCCGCTGGGCCTGCGCGTCCGGAGCCTGTGCTCCGCAGCGGGAGAGGCCACGACAGTGAGAGGCCCGCGCGCCGCAAAAAACAAAAAACAAAAGAAGAGTAAGAAAGGAGAAAGGGTGGGAGGACGGGGAAGAGGAGAGCCACGAAGGGAGGGAGGAAGGAGGGAGGAAGGAGGGAGGAAGGAGGGAGGGCCTGGGGACAGCCCTCCGCTTTCCCGAAACCCTTCCTCGTCTCCCATCAGTGTCGGGAAAGTCGGTCGAGGGTCTTGGCTTTTTCTGCCTCCAAGAATCCTGGTCCCTTCTCACCCTGAAGGGTGGGCAGAACGGCTCTCGGTGCTGAGCTGGCCGTCATGATGTGACACAACCCGACATGCTGCCAGTGTTTTTATATAATCCTCTGGTTTCCCCATAAAACAGACCATAACACCCTGGCAAGTACACTTCAATAAAGCTGTGTGCTATTACTGGGGCACGCCGCCTTCCCGGAGATGAATCACTGCCGGAATGGTCAAGTGGCAGTTGAACCAAACTTTTCTCCCCTCGTGGCTTCAGCTGAGCAGGAGAGATCAGAAAAGCCACGGAGCCCACCAAAAGTACCTCCAGAGAAAAACCAGGAGTTCGGGGGTGGTGAGAAGGTGCTTGGGAAGCCAGAGGACGCTCTGCCTTCCCTGAGCAGGTGGGCACGGCTGCGGACAACTCCTGCGTCCCGGGCGTCACCAAGCCTCAGGTTCAGAGCCGCTGCTCCGAGGCCGGCTGGGCCTCCAGAAGAAAATCCTGAGATGACCCTCACATCGGGCGGGCGCCATGCAGAACAGGCCCTGCCTGTGCAAGCTGGCTCCCAGACAGCTCCTGCCGGAGCCTGTTACTGACGCTGCCTGAGGGGTGTTGCTGGGTCTGCTGATGCAGAAACCAGAATAGCACAGGACAGAGGGGAGCCCACGAATGAGGTAAGCACTAACTTTCCTCCTTCCTCGTTGTAACTTGGCACCGATTGAACCGAGGGGGGAGCAGTCGCTTTCTTCTGCTCCGTTGCATCCCCAAGTGCAAAAGTACCCCCCCCTTCCCCTCACCCTCCTTGACTCCCACTCTGACTCTCAGGGCGACCCACACCTGCTTGGGATGAAACAAGGAGCCCACCTGCGGGAGCTGGGCTTCCTGCAGAAGCTTCCAAGGACTCCAGGGTCTGCCAAGGTAACTAACACCTGCCAAGCCCCTGCTAGGCCCTGGAGTCTCTTCATCCACGAGCCACAGGCTCACGGCCTCAGACGTGGCCCACGACTCTTTGTGGAGTGAGCCCCGAGCATCCCCAGGACAGGGCGCTGAACGGGCCCAGTGGCCGGGGGTACCTTTCTCCACCAACATTTAAAGGACACACCTCTGAAGGGCAGGGCCACCACCCCACCTCTCTACACTTCCTCCCCGAGGCAGGGGGGTGAGTCCGGGCTAAGCTCCGAAGCGCCACATCTCCCGGGGCATCACAGCTCTTGTCCTGGGCACCGCCTGCTCTTAACGCAGGTCCTACAACCTCTAGAAGTCCTCTCACATCCCCTAGGGGGACAAGGCGGATTCCCCTCATGTGTGCTGGGGGAAGGGGGGACGGTACGCAAGGGTCCACTGGGCGAGTGAATGCGTGAGTGGCCAAGCAGGCCAGTGCCCTCTGCCCCACGGAGCCTTCATCGCCTTTGGCCTCCTGCCTAATTCCCTGCCAAGAAACGGGAGTTCGATCCCAGCACTGGTTGGCCATCGGGCCCCTGGGGTCCTCGGAGGTTTTAGCGGTCGGGCGCAGTGCAGCGTCCCAAGCACGGGGACGCTTCCCCCCTGCCCAGCGCCTCCGTCCCGAGCGGGGCGCTAGCTCGGCTCACCGTTCAGCTGGGTGTAGACCACCTCCTCCAGGTGGTCGAGGCGTTGCAGGATGGCCTCGCGCTCCGCCAGCGCGCCCACCGTGGCGTGCCGGCTGCGCACCCGGCGGTCGGCGCTGCGCACGATCTGCACCGGCCCCTCTGAGCGGTCCTGCAGGCGGCAGTACACCGAGAAGAGGATGATGCCCACGAACACCAGGATGTTGACCGTCAGCAAAGTTTTGATCTTCCTGGCCACCGCCATGAACGCGGCTGGAAGCTGGGGGCTGCCTCACCCGCGGGGCATCCCCGTGGGCCCGGCGGCCACAGGAGCCTCCGTCTGGCCCGCTGCTTCGGGGACCATGAGCCAGCCCGGCTTGCCGCGGGCTGGGGGCTGCGGATCCGCTGCGCGCTCTGCCGCCTGTCACCGGGAGCTGTCCCTTCAGCACCGCCCGCGCCGGCTCAGCACGCCCCTCCGCCTCCCGGGTTCCCCACGCGCAGGGGCTGCCCGGAGCCGCGGATGCAGGGGGCACCCGGCATCCTCCGCAGAGGGGCGCGGCCCAGTCTCGGGGGCGGCGGGGCGGGCCTCGGGGCCCGGAGAAACGACGGAGGTGCGGGCCGGCAGGCGCTCGGCTGGCGTGCGGCTCCTGCCCGCCCCGCCGCCA